TACTAGTTCTTCCTAGGAATAAACTTACCACTTCAACAGTTTTTAGATTTTGGAGTAACTGGCACTAAATCCAGTTACATAGATGACAACGTGTTTGATTGATTAAATCAGTTATTCTGAAATGTGATTCAGTAGCAAACATCTGGAAGTGGTGATAATATTTGGATAATAATCAAAGAGCTGGGAAGTGACTACATTGATACATTTAATTCCACCAAAAATCTGGATATATTTCTAGTAGAAAATTAAACTACATATCATATAAGTATCTCTACATTATCTAGAATGTACATAAAATATTTTTCACTCACTGAAATATTTTATCTATTGAACCTGTTTCTTATTCATTTGGTGAAAAACACTAGCAACCTGTAAGTCTTTTAAGAACAGATGTGAGGGAGAATTCTTGAAATTGAGAATAAGAGTTTTTGCAAAAGCCCAAGCAAGATACGTATCCTGAAATAAGCCAGTGAAGCATGGAGGACAAAATTTGAAAAATATTTAAGTAGAGTCATTAAGACATGATTTGGATGTTGAAAGAGGACTCAAAGATGACTCACCAGTTCCTATTGATGGTCTCTAGGTGGAAGGTAGATGATAGGTTTTGTTTTGGGTTATATACAACTATTTATGAAAAGCTCTGAGGTAGTAAAGAGAAGCAGGTGAGGTATGGAGGTGAGGAATAAGAAAAATTAGTCTCAAATGGGGAGTATAAACTGAAATAATGAAAGATTAAAAAGCAGATGTATTGAACTGAGAAAAACATGGAGTTCCTTGTGTTGAATTCAAAGGGACATGGGAAAAAATCAGAAAGCTATTACTCAGAGAATGACATGATTGATAGAAATCACAGGAAATGGTTTTAGCTTCATTGAAGCAAAAAATATTTGGAAATTGTACATCTTGATTTCTTGACAACTGCCATAATAATAATTACCATAATGGCACCAAGAAATATTTCAAATAGAAACAGCTAAGTCACCCACGTAAGTCAACCATTAAGAAAATTTTATGTCAATGTAGTGTAGGTTGAAGTGAAGGTTTACAGATTTGAAACTCAAACTGACAAGTTAAAAGAGATTTTATATGCTCTATTGAAACATTGGCAAATCTTTTGTAATAGTTTATATTTTGGAGGGGGAAATGTCTTTACAGGAACTGCTTCCATGTCAAGAGTATATTGAAACATTCAATATTTAAATCAAAATACCTTTTAATATGTCCCAACCCATAACTGGATAGGCAGCTTATCTGGCCAAATTAGTCTCCTTATGAGAAATTATTTAGATGAACTAGTAGTCTTCTGTTCATTATAATGGCAACGCCCACAGCATATGTTTGGTCCTTTAGCAACAGGGTCTGTATTAGTTTGCAAGGGCTGCCATAATAAAATACCACAGACTGGATAATTTAAAGAGTATAATTTATTTTCTTGTAGTTCTGGAAGCTATGTATAGTTCAGGAAGATCAAGGTTTTGGTAGGGTTGGTTTATTTTGATGGCTCCTTTCATACTGCAGCCTCAGGTAGTATTAACTTTGTATGTAGGTATCACTAATACTTTTGTATGTCCAGATTTCCTCTTTTCTATGGACACTAGTTGGATTAGAGTAGAGCCCACTTTAACAATTTCATTTTAATTAACTCACCCCTGTAGAGACTCTATTTCCAACTAGATTCTGAGGTAGTAAGGCAGAGGGCTTCAATTGATGAATCGTGCATGAAGGAAGGTCCACAATTCAGAACATGAGGGAGTCCTTATCACAAACAACTAAAAACAAGTCCAACTTACATAAAAGTAAAATAACTTAGTGGAAAGATTCTTCAAAGAGTCCAAGGGACCCTGGAATTCTTAGGAAGTACAGAAGTTTGGTAAGTCTGGGAAGTCAGGTTAGAAAAACAAGAACAGCAAGAGGTAATAGTAGGTAATTAAGGTATAGTGTGGACACTGTCCCTGGTCTCCCACCTTTGGATTTGTAACACCTACATTCTTCTATGCCCTAAATAACGCTTTAAAAAAAAACATTTATTTATTTATGCATACAACAATTGGGGTTCAGGCCAGAGGTGTGGAGGCTGAGGGAATTCACAAGAGACACAGTGGGAAACAGAACACAGATTGACTGAAATACACTGCTGAGGGGAACAGTGGGCAGCATGTGAGAATTCTGCCATACCATGTGGGCTACCTCCCTGGCTGGGAATCAAACTTGCAGATAGCTTCATAGTGCTGTGTTTTAATCCACTGTGCCACCAGGGAGGGCACTATGCCTTCAAGAACTCTAGAACTCAGGAAATTCACAAGTTCCCTTGAGATTTCAATTCCTTTGAGATTATAAAGTCTGGGCATGCAAGTAAGGTGAGGGCAAAAAAGATCTGCCTTTTCAAACCCAAATTATGATTTCACTCATATGTGGAATATAGACGGAAAAAATAAAAAAAAAAATTGACAAAACTAAACCAAACTTTAGAAATGTGACTACAGAATTGAGGCTATCTGAAGGAAAGGGAGGGTGAAGGTAGGAACAATGTAGTTAGGGACCCAAGGACTTACGATAAAGGATTATGGGTGCTTTGATAATGGGCTAGTGTGTAATATACATCTGAAGAGTTATAAATTTACTCCCTTAAGTTATATACAGAATTTAAACCAATGATGCCACAACACAACAAAAATTTAAAAACAAGATAAAATTTAAAGGTGTTAGAGAAAAATACTTTTACTCTAACAAAAATTATATTGGCAAATTTTGTTGAATTTGAGAACATCCCTCTCTAAAATGAAAAGTTTCATCATAATAGGTTATGTAATTAAGAATTCTTCTGATTTCATGCATTATTTTAACGCAA